TGCAATTCAATTTCTCATATAAATATTTTGTTCATCAAAAACCTCAACAAATAAATGTTGAATTCATACCAAAGTTCATATATCAAAAAAAAAAAAAAAAAATCAAGTGTCCATATAAATAAACCCAGATTCTTCAATCCACCACTTCAAAGTGCAAAAAAAAGTGCTGTGCAAAATTAAATATAATGGTCTTTGTTGTGCACACTCAACCTCTTGTGACCACCACTATGGGAAAACTGATTACTCACCCAAGGATCACAAAAACAAGGTTAATGGTATTCAGTGTGCAGCTGAACCACTCTAGCATGTCTAGTCACCAGAATTTAAGCAAACAGGCACAATGCAATGATTGTATCCTCTCGTGTCATCAAGGGGTTGAGTATCTCCAGCAGGACAGGGGATGGAGTAAGAGTGAAAAGGAGTATTCCACAGGCATATAAGGAAAATATAAAGAAAGTGCCACAATAGTGTAAAAATCTTCAAGTATTTTATTGCCAATCAAAAGTATCACACTTACATTCACATGTGTCAAACCCGACACTAAGGAAGACAGCACATTATCATTTACAAGCTCTACTGACTCCAACCACGATCACTGGCCGCGAGCAGACAGGCTGTGCAGGATAACATCACTCCAATTATTATTATTATTATTATTATACAGGATGTATATAGCACCAACGGTTTGCTCAGCGCTTTACATTATAGTGGGAGACAATACAGTAACAATACAGTTCAATACAAGAGGGAAAGGAGGGCCCTGCTCCTTGGAGCTTACAATCTAGGAGGGAGGGGTGAATGGTACAATAGGTAAAACTGTAGGGGATGGAGTGGTTGGAAGCGTAGAGGATTCCAGTATTAGCAGAGGGCAGGACAGGCTTCCCTGAAGAGATAGGTGTTTAATGATCGGCTAAAGGTAAGTAGAGTAGGTGATAGTCTGATAAATTGGGGTAGGGAGTTCCAGAGGATGGGTGACACCCTGGAGAAGTCTTGGAGACAAGCATGGGAGGAGGAGATAAGGGAGCTAGAGAGTAGGAGGTCTTGCGAGGAGCGGAGTGTACGGTTTGGGTGATATTTAGGATAAGATCGGATATGTAAATTGGGGCAGGGTTGTGCATGGCTTTCTATATCATAGTTAGTGTTTTTGAATTTTATCCATTGGGCAACTGGGAGCCAGTGGAGGGATTGGCAGAGAGGGGTGGCAGATACAGAGCGCTTAGTGAGGTGGATGAGTCTGGCAGCAGCGTTCATGATAGACTGAAGGGGGTATAGCCTGCGATTCGGTAGGCCAATGAGGAGGGAGTTACAATAGTCGAGGCATGATATGACAACGGAGTGAATAAGTTGCTTAGTGGTTTCCGGGGTTAGGAACGGTCGTATCTTGGAGATGTTGCAGAGGTGAAGTCTACATGATTTTGTCAGCAATTGGATCTGGGGTTGGAAGGACAGATGGGAGTCTAGGATTACACCTAGTACTCTGGCATGAGGGGAGGGACTAATGATTGTGTTATCGATCTTTATGGTGAAGTCAGTGGAGGTGGCACGGGCTGGGGGGAATACTAGGAGCTCAATTTTGGAAAGATTGAGTTTGAGGAAGTGGAGTGACATCCAAGCCGATATGTCACTTAGTAGGCTAGCGATGTGGGTGGAGACTGAAGGGGTGAGGTGAGGGGTAGACAGATAGATTTGCGTGTCATCAGCATAGAGATGGTAATTGAAGCTGTGGGAGTTTATCAAGTGACCAAGGGAGGAGGTGTAGATGGAGAAGAGAAGGGGTCCAAGGACAGAACCTTGAGGGACCCCTACAGAGAGAGGGAGTGAAGAGGAGGTGGCAGCGTTATAGGTAACACTGAAGGAGCGCTGCGATAGATAGGAGGAGAACCAGGAGAGAGCGGAGTCTCTGAGGCCAAGAGAGTGTAGTTTTTTGAGGAGGAGGGGGGTGGTGCCAAAAGCCCCGGAGAGGTCAAGTAGTAGGAGTATTAAATAGTGGCCGTTGGTTTTTGCAGTTAGTAGGTCATTAGAGAGTTTTAGTAGGGCAGTCTCAGTGGAGTGTAGAAGGCAAAAGCCAGATTGTAAAGGGTCGAGAAGGTTGTTGTCAGTGAGGTGGGAGCTCAGACGATTGTAGACTAAGCGTTCTAGGAGTTTAGAGGTAAATGGCAGGAGGGAGATGGGTCTTAGGTTGTTCAGGTTGGTGGGGTCTAGGGAGGGTTTTTTAAGTATAGGAGTGATGTACGCGTGCTTTAGAGGGGAGGGGAAGGCACCTGAAGAGAGGGAAAGATTGAAGATGTGAGTGAGGGAGCATAGGATGGAGGAGGAGGGTGACCGAAGGAGTTGTGAGGGGACAGGGTTCAGGGGGCAAGTGGTGAGGCGGGCTTCTGTGAAGACCTTGAGGACCTCTTCGGTGGTAGCGAGGTCAAAAGAGGAGAGTGTTGAGAGAAGTATGGTATGAGGAATGCTAAGTGGGGTGGGTGTCTGTGTATTGGCGGTGTCCCTATGAATTGTGTCAATCTTGTTTTGGAAGTGGTTTGCAATTTCGTGGGCAGTGAGTGAGGAGTTGGGTGGCGGTGGGGGCGGAGAAAGTAGAGAGTTAAAGGTAGAGAAGAGCTGATGAGGACTCGAAGAGAAGGTATTGATGAGAGTGACAAAGTAGGCTTGTTTGGCACCGTGAAGGGAGGAAGTGTATGTTAGGAAGGCAGATTTATAACGGGTGAACGCTTGGTGGGATTTGGTTTTACACCATAATCGCTCCAGCGAATGACTGTGTCATTTGAGATTCCAGGTATGGTCAGTCTGCCAAGGTTGTAGAGGTCGGGGCCTGATGCTTCGTGTTGTTAGGGGAGCAAGCGAGTCTAGAGCGGATGAAAGCGAGTTGTTGTAGACAGCAGTGGCCAGGTCGGGGCAGGACGGGGTTGATGCTGTCATAAAGTTGGTCAGTTGCAGAGTGGAAGGGAGCCAGGTTTAGGTTTCGGAGATTTCTGCTGGTAATTGTTTGCTGTTTGATGGGAAAGGTGTTAGAGGACAAGGAGACTGTGAAGGTCATGAGATTGTGATCAGAGAGGGGAAAGGGGGAGTTTTTGAGCTTATAGGGAGTACAGTGGTGAGAGAAGACAAGGTCTAAGGTATTCCCGTCGGAGTGAGTGGAGGACTATACACACTGTGCTAGTTCAAAAGAAGAGGTTATGTGGAGGAGTTGAATGTAGTCGGGTTATTGACGTTAATAGGGATGTTGAAGTCTCTATTAGGTTCCTCCCTAAGTGTGTTGACGTAATGTCATCATCAGGATGTAATGTCATCATCTTTTCACATGACAACATTACATCCTGATGACCTTATGTCAAAACATGGAGGGCAGACATTACTGATGACCAGGGGCAGACTGACCATTTGGAAACTCGGGCACTGCCCGAGGGCCCGGGGTCAGTAGAGGGCCCCATGAGATGCCCCTGGTACCTTTTTCATAGGCTTTTTTGAGTTTGGGCAAGGACACAGGGGCCCCATGATCCCCTATTGCCCGGGGGCCCCATGAGTTGTCAGTCCGCCCCTGCTGATGACGACATTACATCATTTTGATTAGACACAAATTTTAAAGCATTATGAGGAACGGTTTTACCTGGCTTGCTTGCTGTAGATTTTACCAGTGCCCCGATCTATATATCCCAGCATCTTTCTGACCTACATCTTGGAATCTAAATTCCAGAGGGCTCTTGTACAGCTGCACAGACCACAAGTGCAAATCTGTAAATGCTTTTATATTTTGTAGCTCCTCTAATCTTGCATTCAGACACTTTGACGACATCCATATCTGTAGAACATGTCGGGAAGTGCACAGACTGAACTTTGAGCTATTTCATATATTTGGTCTATTCTACTTTTTCTGACATCTCCAATCTGTATGAATATGGGTTGAATTTGACTTTGGCCAGTTTAGGTTTGCAATTCTCCAGCAATGCTCAAAAATTAATGGTAAAACTGAATTATTTCAGATGTACTTTAGTAAGAAATTTAGGTATAGGTGGTTGTCAGTGTTTAGACTGCTAAACTCAGAAAGCGTTCCACCGGGATTGTCATCATTTATTAAAACAAAATGTCCGCAGAGCTTCTGTACAGTGAAATGGAGATGTTCCTGTGGTTTTGATTCCTGTATTAGTGTCACACAAGGGACACACTGACTATCTGCAGTAACAGTGTGGCTGGAATAAAAATCCAGCAATAACAGCTCGCTGTTTTCTTCTTTTGTCCCTGGTTCAATTTTTCAACTAACTAGTGACGTGTGTACTGTGAAGTGTATCTGTCAAGCAATTTTGGAAAGTCTAGCCTGAGAATAGCATACAGGTTAAGGCATAAAAGTATGTTTTGCGTCACAAATAAGCTTCTTAGAAATAAAAAAAAAGGTATAGCAATTTGCTCTTCTCTTTTGGCAGAGGTGACCAGTTTAGGGATCAAGGCCTCATATAAGTTGTCATAAAATATACTATATTGCCAAAAGTATTGGGACGCCTGCCCTTACATGCACATGAACTTTATTGGATTCCCACAGTCCGTAGGGTTCAGTATTGAGTTGGCCCACCCTTTGCAGCTATAACAGCTTCAACTCTCTTGGAAGGCTGTCCACAAGGTTTAGGAGTGTGTCTATGGGAATGATTGACCATTTTTCCAGAAGAGCATTTGTGAGGTCAGGCATGATATTGGAGGAGAAGGCCTGGCTTGCAGTCTCTGCGGTAATTCATCCCAAAGGTGTTCTATTGTGTTGAGGTGCAGGCCAGTCATGTTCCTCCACCACAAACTCGCTCATCCATGTCTTTATAGACCTTGCTTTGTGCACTGGTGTGCAGTCATGTTGGAACAGGAAGAGGCCATCCCCAAACTGTTCCCACAAAGTTGGGAGCATTAAATTGTCCAAAAATGTCTTGGTATGCTGACGCCTTCCCCTCACTGGAACTAAGGGGCCAAGCCCAACCCCTGAAAAGCAGTCTCACAACATAATTCCCCTCCACCAAACTTTACACTTGGCACAATGCAGTCAGGCAAGTACCATTCTACTGGCAACCACCAAACCCAAATATGTCCACCAGATTTCCAGACAGAGAAGCCTGATTTGTCATTCCAGAGAACACGTCTTCACTGCTCTGGAGTGCAGTGGTGGTGTTCTTTACACCACTGCATCCAACCCTTTGCATTGCACTTAGTGATGTAAGGCTTGGATGCAGCTGCTCAGCCATGGAGACCCATTCCATGAAGCTTTCTATGCACTGTTGTGCTAATCTGAAGGCCACAAGAGGTTTGGAGGTCTTTAACTTTTGACTACCGACAGTTGGCTACTTCTGCGCACTGTGTGCTTCAGCATCGCTGACCCCCGCTGTGTTATTTTACCACTTCATGGCTGAATTGCTGTTGTTTCCAGTTGCTTCCACTTTGTTATAATACCACTAACAGTTGACTGTGGAATATTTAGCAGCAAGGAAATTTCACAGATGGACTTATTGCACATGTGGCAACTTATCATGGTACCACACTTGAATTCACTGAGCTCCGGAGACCCATTCTTTCACAAATATTTGTAGAAGCAGCCTGCAGGCCTAGGTGCTTGATTTTTATACACCTATGTCCCATGGATTTGATTGGAACACCTGAATCCAATGATTTGGGGGGGTATCCCAATACTTTTGGCAATATACTGTATTTTTGATGCCCACAGATTATGGGAGACTGTCTTCCCTTTACTGAATCATGAAGAGCTCTGGGCCTTTGTAGAATTAAAGTGAATGTAATGCCCTTTCAAACTAATGTTCCGCTCAGGTCAGCCTGTCCATTTTTCAGGCGAACCCAATTGAAACCTCCATTCTCCTCTATGGAGGGGCAGGTGTAAATGGAGTCCATTTACATCTGCCTACATCCAATCCAATCCAATCAGATCTGCTAAAAACAGATGGATGTTAATTGGTTCCCCTTCCTTTTTTTTATAATTTAAATATTTATTAATTTTCCATTTTAATTACATTTCATCATCACAATATAAATATATATATATATAAAATATATTCTATAGTATTATATTAACCAATTCTACTTTATATACTCTATGCTACCTTTCCCCCCCACCTCCACCCCCCACCCCCGTATCCCCTCTGCCTATTCTACCTTTTCTCTGCGTCTTCTTATATCAGCAAGTGGAATTTTTCTGTTGTTATCTTTATTCTTTCCTATACCTCATATATAATCTAGCTTTTTCCCAGTTCTCCCATTTCCCATAGTAAGCCTCCATCTTATCTTCTTGGGTATGGCACAACCTTTCCATCTTTTTAATCTGCTCGACTCTTTCGATCCAGTCCTCTTCCTTTGGTGCCTCTATTCGCCACCAGAACTTGGGTATTAGGGCTTTTGCAGCATTTATATATAGTACCATATCCCTGATTTTTTATATTTATTTACCGTTATATCCGTGATGTGCAAAATACATACTTCTGGATCTAGATTTATGTCTATTTCTGTCAATTTTCTTATTAAGTGGATTATTGTTTTCCAGAATATCTGGATTTTTGGGCATCCCCACCATATTTGGTATATTGTGCCTATTTCTCCACATCCCCTCCAACACAACGGTGTACTCTCTCCACACATCTTATTTTCTACTGTTGGTGAAATGTGCCATCTTGTCAAACACTTATAGTTCATCTCTACTTCTCTCATAGAGACATTTTCGTGAGTTAATCTATACATTCTCATCTGCTTTTCCTCATCTATCACAACTCCCATATCCATTTCCCATTTTGTTATATATGTTGGCTTCGTGTTTGTGTCTAGTTCAGTGAGTATTTTATAAACTCTAGCAATCCCGTGTGTTTCCCATCACCTTGTGTTCCCAATATATTTTCGAACAAGTTCCAATTGTCTCTTGTCCTTAAAGGTCTTGGCAAACTTCCAACAAAACACCTCAATTGGAAATACCGCCATTCGTCTAATTTAGTGAAAATCTCTCCCTCTTTTTTTTTCAATTCGCCAAATGCTCCTATTTCATCTCCCACCATGATATCTCTCCTAATTGCACCTTATCTTTTTTAAACCACTTCCCTCCTATTTCTTCTCTGCCTGGGGGAAAAAAACTCTGTATTTTTTAGTGGAATCAGTGTGGAATTAAAAGTCCATTTCATACTTCTGTGTAAGTTATCCCAAATCTTTAAAACATTCAAAGTGTATGTATTTACATTGTCATTTAAACCCCTATACTGTGTTGGCACCCATATCATTCTTCCCAGTCTATTCCGCTGAGTTCATTCTCTATTCTCACCCAGCTTTTTTTATTATTAAATATCCAATCTATGGTTCTTGCCAATATTACCGCTTTGTAATATCTTTTAAAGTCTGGGAGCCCTAAACCCCTCTCTTCTTTCCTCCTACTTAGCAGTTCGTATGACAGTCTTGGTTTTTTATTCCTCCATATGTATCTTGTTATCAGTTTCTTAATTATTTTAAAGAAAATCTCTGGGAGTTTAATTGGGATCATTTGATATCTATATATGATTTTTGGTACTATTACCATTTTTACCAGATTAATACGGCCCATCCATGTCGGGGTTCCTCCCTCCAATCTTTTTAATTTGTCTCTAATCTCATTAATCAGTGAAATATAGTTTAGTTTATATAGATGTTTATGTGAGGCTGTAAGTTTTACTCCTAGATATTTTATATCCCTGTCTTTCCATTTTAAGGGAAATTCTTTTTGTATCCTTTCTTTTTCGTTTTTTAAGATGTTTATATTTAGAATCTCCGTTTTTGTTGGATTTATCTTTAAATTTGATAGTTCTCCGTACTCCTTTAGTGACTTCATTAAGTTTGGAAGTGTTATCCTGGGGTTTCCTACATAGAACAACAAGTCATCTGCGAAAGCAGCAACTTTATGTTCTGTATCTCCTATCAGGATTCCCTTTACGTCTCTATTCAGCCTTATTGTTGACAATAGTGGTTCTAGTGATATAACATACAGCAATGGGGGGACAATGGGCATCCCTGTCTTGTTCCGTTTGACATCTCAATGGGTTCTGACCTCTCCCCGTTTACCCCAATAACCACCGAGGGGTATCTGTACAGCTTTCCTATCCACTCTCTCATCCTAGGCCCGATTCCCAAGGCTTCCAGAGTATCCATCATGAATCTCCAGTTTACCCTATCAAACGCTTTTTCAGCATCTATAGACAGTAGTACCACCGGTTCTTTTCCCTTTTTACTCTTTTGGATTAGCATCAATGATCGTACCCCATTATCTTTTCCCTCCCTCCCTGGAACGAAGCCCACCTGATCCTCATGTATCCATCCAGGCATTAGCTCTTTCAATCTATTTGCTAGGACCTTTGCGTACAACTTAGTGTCTGTGTTCAATAGTGAAATAGGTCTATAGCTCGAACACTGAGAGGGATCTTTTCCCTCTTTTTGAATGAGCACGAGTTGGGCTTGTAATGATTCTCTTCTTACTTCCATCTCTCCACCTAGTGCATTCATGTAGTTTTTGAGTTTTGGTACTAAGATTTCACTAAATTTTTTATAGTATCTCACTGTTTAACCATCTGGACCTGGGCTTTTCCCCGACACTGTCCCCTTCAATGCTAGTTTTATTTCTTCCTGTGAGATATCTGCATCTAGGGAGTTTAGTTGATCCTCACTTAATATTAGTAACCCAGCCATTTCCAAATATTTCTTTCTTTTCTGATTCTTCTCACTGTCTATAGTTTCTGAACCTTCCAAGGGGGCTTATATTGTACAGTTTCCTGTAATATTCTATGAAGGCTTTGGTGATATCTTTATTTGAGTGTTTCATGTTTCCTTTAGCATCTTTTATTTTTTCTATATAATTTCTATTTTTCTTTTTCCTCAGTGCTCTCATCAGATACTTTCCAGGTCTTTCTCCCCATCTATATCTCTCACTTAAAACTCTATTATATACTTTTCTCCTCTCCTCTTCTATCATTTCTTTCAGTTCTTCTTTCTGTTTTTTTAACTTCAGCTCTATTTCTTTTGTTATTCTATTCTTATGTATTTGTTCTAATTTACCTATTTCTTCTAAGAGCTCATTAATTTTCTCCCTTCTTTCTTTTTTCTTTCTTGCCCTGATCGCCATTAATATTCCTCTTATATAAGCTTTATGAGACTCCCACACTGTGGCCGTTGACACCTCCCCTGTCTCATTCTCCTTAAAAAAGCGTTCGATCTCCTCCCCTATTTTCTGAGCTATTTCCTTTTCCACTAAAAGTGTCTCATTCAATTTTCATCCCAGCCCTCCGCTTTTCCTTCTCCCCCATTCCATTTTCATAATAACTGGAGCGTGATCTGATAAAGATATTGTCTCTATTTCTACCTGGGTCAGGTGGTCAATTAATTGGTGTTCTATTAATACATAATCTAGTCTTGAATATCTCTTATGCATATTTGAGAAAAAAGTATAATCTCTATCTTGCGTGTGTGTAATTCTCCAGGCATCTACCAATTGACTTATGTGTAATTCTTTTTTCAATAATTTCAGGGCCTTACTTCCTTCTGTCTTTATATGGGAGGTGGCGTCCCTTTGTGGGTCCATACAAAAGTTAAAGTCCCCTGCCAGGATCAAACGTCCTTTTTTAAAGTCCATCAGCTTCCTCAACACCTTTTTCAGATACTCCTCCGGTTTTTTATTAGGACAGTAGATATTGGCCAGTGTACACTCGATCTCCTGTAACTTGCCCCTTAAAAGCAAAAATCTCCCATCTGGATCTGTTTTTCTATCTTCCAAGTCGAACCTAATGTTCTTTGCCAGGCCTATTGCTACCCCTTTTGCTCTTTTAACCGGGGAATCTGCATAATACCATGTTGGGTGGTTTCTAGACCTCAGCCTAACATTTGAACTTATCTCAAGATGTGTCTCCTGTAGAATATCACTGAGGCATCTCTATGGTGTAATTCTTTAAATAATCTATATCTTTTCCCGGGGCAGTTCAACCCATTTATATTATATGTTATAAACTGAATCTCTTCCATCTTCCTTAAATTTCCTCTTTTCTCCTCCATCTATATTTTTCATTTCTCTCTCCTTCTCCCTTCTCACTTGCTTTTATATCATCTTTTATTTTGCAGGAAAAACAACCTCCCTCTCCCATTTCCCACCCTTCCAACCTTCCAACCCCCTCCCTCCCCCCCCCTCCCCTCCCCCCTCTTTTTAGGCCTAACATTTGCCTACTAATCATTTATGGATTAAAAAGTCCACCTTTGATTTGGTCCTTGGGCTAAGACTCCGTCCATGGACGACTTTCCCCTTGTCTAACCTCCCCATAACCTCCCAGGCCCCACCTGGAATTATCACAGGCAGAAAAAAGAAAAAAAAAATCAGAAACGAGGGCAATAGAGTGGGGATAGAAGGAGAGAAGAAGAAAAGAGAAAAAACAAAAAAACAAACAAAAAAAAAACTATTTCTCTTCCTCCATCCCTCTCCCCCCCCTCCCCTCCCCTCCACCTCCTCCCCCCCCCCCACATATTGCCAGTCCTCTTTTCTCTTCGCTCTATTTTCCCATTGTTCTTCTTCCCAGCCAGGGATTTCCATTCTTTGAATTTTTAAAACT